GAAAAATACGGTATACATTTATATTATTATATGGATTATCTGTACTGTTTTTTCTACGATTATTTACACCGTGCACGGTATGTTGAATATGAATATATGATAGTTTATAGACGTAGCATGTGACATAATGCATGGTTACATTCTGTATATTGTATGGGATGTAGTTATTTTTTATATGAACAGTACTTCTCTCAGTTCAAATATCTCTCTTTGATAAATAAAGAAGATTGAATCCATTATCAATTTTAAAAACCTCAACACTGAAGCCTCCCAGTGGCACAGCGGTATGTCTGTGGACTTACAACGCTAGAAACCGCGTTTCGATATCCGTGGTGGGCAGAGCACAGATAGCCCATTGTGTAGCTTTGTGCTTAATTCCAAACAAAACAAAAAATCAACACTGAAAAATGATTTCCTTGTGTCACCAAACGTCTGTTAGTTATCGTAGTGAAGCTTGTAAAATATCAAAATTTAAGTTTTTAACCGTTTTTCCCTTTTTGATTAGGAACTGTAAAAATTATCCTCATGAGTTGTTATTTAACCTTCAAATACCATTTTTTTGAATTATTACAAATTTCTCAAAAGGTAAAATACCTTTTTTTTAAAAAAAAAGTAAAACACAATTACCGAAAATTAGACAGAATAATTGCATAAATTTACCTAATTCTCTAACTCTAAGGAACGTTTTTATCTTAAAAAAAAAGAATTAGATTCATTACAGGTTACACGACGCCGAACATGTTCGCCCTTTTAGCCGTGGGGTCGATATAATGTAACAGTCAATCCCACTATTCGTTGGTACAAGAGTAGCCAGTGGGTACTACCAGTCCCGGTTGCACTTTCTTTGGTCTGTAGTTCAAAAGTAGTAACAGCGGTAGATAGTCGTAGCAGTTTTACTATAAACAAATATACATAATCATTAGAGATTTCACTTCAGAAGAGTGGTGTTTGTGATACTGCAAAATATCCTTTCAGTTGAGAAAGTAAAAGTTAGTAGCAATTATGAATTTATTCATCTGTAGTTTGCTTTATGATTTTTCAAAGCGTGTGTGTGATATTTATAATTTTTTGCTTGTTTTATGGGTTTTTTATTTTCTGACTACACGATCCTCTTGTTAAAGAAAAACTTTATGTGGTACACGTTATCAACGTATTTTCTGTTGTAGTGTAAACTACTAAATGTAAGTTGAGTAGTTCTAGAATAGTCCAGTACTGATTTATTTTATTTTATTGGAGTCAATAGCACTTATTTTCGTGTATAAAATATCCCTGGGCGAACTGATTTTCAGTCACGGCATAGCGGCTCATAGAATGACTCTTAAGTTTTTTCAAGTACAAACATTTAGCCCGTATCTCAGTCAGCTCTTGACCGATTTGAGATCTAGTTACAGCTTTGGACTTAGGAGGTCAAACCCTTTTGATTGATGTATTTGACCACGCCCAAGACCTTGTAGATTAATTTACTCCAATCCTGCCTAAAAGAATTTCAGTTTGAGGGTAGGCTAGTAGAGATCGAATCGGGTATACGCGCGTCCCACGCTTGGTATTGGTGGTGCACAAAAATATAGCTAATAACATGTCTCATAGATTAATTTACTCTAATCGTGCCTAGAATAATTTCAAGTTCCGCGGCTGTTGAAGATTCCCTCTTGTTTAAGTAAGATGTTTGTTTTTTTTTAACGCAAACCTAAACGCCCTGGGGAATCGAAACCCCGGATTTTAGCCTTTTACGTCTTGAAACTTAACGTTGACCCACTGGCGACAGGTAACACATGCATAAAGAATAAAAGACTACATATTTCACAAAGAATTGTTTTAACCTATATTTCCCGATTGTCAGTTGTCGCGTAAACAACTCATTGAAATACCAGCTAATTCTGAATGAGTCATGTGACCTGTAGAAAAAACAAGAAACTTCAACAGAAAGAATCGCACACATTCGATATTGTTGAATTACCAAGACAATATAAGTGTTATCTGGGTGACGTAAACAAGAGGTCCGGTTTTAACTGGCATGGTCTAGTAACTTTTTTCTACAACTATTAACAATATACGTTTTTTAATAGAAACAATAATATTACAGATACTTAAAATGCCCTTTTGCCGGTATTGGCTGATTACTCAGCATACACAAATACTGATGCAGAAATGAACGTCTTTAAAGATTCTTCTTAAAATATACTTAATCATGTGGTTCAGGGCTCTAGAATTCACCTTTTAGACTCAAAAAATGTTTGTTTATTCTTCGCCGAGTTCATGAGTGGTTTAAAACCTTTAACAAGGAGATAACATACATTGGTTTAATGATGTTTATAAACTAAAATATTTGTTAACTATTATTAATTTAGTAAGAACATTGGGGACATTAAATTTGGAAAATTTTTGGTTTACTATTTGCCAAACACGTTTTTATCCATTGTTTTAAATAAAGTTGCGTAATGTAAACCATGTAAGATACTGACATATAAGATGCTAAAAAGAACTATAATTGTTACAAAAGTATTTACAATAAATGACGTAGGGAGAGCTTCAATAGTTTATATTTTGATAGAAAAAACAACAGCTTATTATAGGAATGGATAACTGAAAATACATGAATTTTCTTGTTAGATCTACATTTACTGTTTGTAGAAGGTATTCGTGGCTTAGGATATTAGTATTCCGATTATAAGTTACAGAAACTTGTATCTCTGGTGGGATTTTTTTTTGCATCTTAACCAAAATATCTGATTAATGAATTTATTTATTTATTACTTTTACAGCCATGTTTCAAGCACCTTTGATTCCCAGTTTCCTTCCAAACCCTTCTAACCACCCGCTAAACATGCCTTCGGTAAGTCGGCCGGGACCAGGACCAGGGGGCGGTGGTAACAGTGGTGTCAACGCTCTCCTGCAACCAACCGGGTTGCCACTTCGCCCCAGCCCGCCAGTCCCCATGCTCCCCTCCAGCAGCCAGTCCTCCCCTTCCCCTGGAAGAAAGGACACAACCTCCCCATGCCAATTACAGCAGCAACAACAACAACATCCCAAACATCAATCACAACAGCATTTCAACCAGACATTTTTTCAACAGGTAGGTACATATGTTAGAATATCATGTATTCTTCTATCATTTTTAACTTTCATCAATGTTCGGACTGTTTTAGTACATGAAGTGTTTAATAATGACGATGTTGAAAAACTTTAGATGTGATCACTTAACATCACTGCCACACCTTTAGGACTTGTGAATTTTTTAAACATTAAATTACTGACTTGTTTGTGTACCATTCGCTATTGGCTCTATTGGATAATTCGATGTTTTTGCCTTTTACCACACTCAGTGTAAAGAACTGATAAATAATGAATGAGATCTACAGTGATAATTAGTGCGATTGGTTGTAATGTTAATAGTATTTTTGTGTTCGAATCACACGTTATAAGAGACCAACCAAGTGATGAACCCACCAAAAATATGATCAAAGAGCCGTGACTCCTTCAATAATTCTAGTTAATGGACTTATTATTAGTGCGATTGGTTGTAATGTTAATAGTATTTTTGTGTTCGAATCACACGTTATAAGAGACCAACCAAGTGATGAACCCACCAAAAATAGGATCAAAAAGCCGTCACTCCTTCAATAATTCTAGTTAATGGACTTATTATATCAAGCGTAGGCACTACAAAAAAGTTGTTTGTAGGTAACTAGAACACTTCAACTAAGTTGTTAAAACTCTTCAGTGTCAGTGAAAGGATGATGGGGTTTGGGGGAAGGGGATACTGGGTCTCTCTGTTTAGTTTTAGGTGTAAAAGAGAACATTTAGATGAATTCCGTGTAAATCTGGACTGTAGAAATAGAATTAAAAAGTGATTCAACTTCATTGCTGAGTACTTGTATTACCATAACATACAAATACTACTGTATGCTGCCGTGGAATATCCAGAGAGTATTTATGATAACTGGCCTTAATACAGCCATGTTTTCCATCAATTTTGTTTTGTGACAGATACAATTTTAAAAACGACATCCTCCGTGTATTACAGTATAATGCTGCTTTTTTAAAATTCCAAACTTGACATTTTTGTTGTTGTTATTTCAACCTCCCTTACTACACCTCAACACTGTATTATAACAAGTGTTCTGTTTCAACTCTATCTTGTGGCCTACAGATTGAATGGCCTTCAATACTGTTCTGCAACTTCAATAACGTATTCTATAGTATTCGTTCGAGAGTTTAAATCTTTGTTTCGGATATTCGCGTATATATAAATACAAAAAAGGCTATGTACGCTAACAGTCCCCAATTTGGAACTTAGACTAGACTTGCAGGAATTCACAAACTTCCTGAATCACGACCCTCAAGGTGATTTTCTGAGACCTCTGGGGTTGTTAGAGGAGTTACTGTTCTAATATATTAAAGTTTAGTAGTAGTACGCTTATGATTTATGTCTTTTTACTTGTTTGTTTAAAACATTTTAGGATCATTATTTTATACAAAAATTAAAATATATTTATATATATGTGTTTTATTTTGCATTAACTGCAACTCACGTCGATACCTCTTGCGGTCCATCATTGGATCGCGACCCACAGTTTGGGAACCGCTGTACTAGATAGAGAGAATTCTAAGAACTAAGAGTGAGAGCAAACGAAAACATGTAGTCAACCTACCGTATATCCAATGCTGACGAACCTTTCCAATACCAGGATTCATCAGGCCGGCTGTGATACGCCACGTATAGCAGTGGTTGAGGCAATATTTATATCATCGCCCCCCAGTGGCACAGCGGTACGTCTGCGATCTTACAACGCCAGAAACCGGGTTTCGATACCCGTGGTGGGCAGAGCACAGATAGCCCTTGTGTAGCTTTGTGCATAATTAAAAAAACAAAAACAATTTATATCATCAGTTGCATGAACAACGATTATTATGACGTGAACTAGGTTTAGGACGAGAATTGTAATTATTATCAATTTCATTTAAGTCTCTTACAAACCATAATTAGGGTAAAAATTAATAACACAATATTATTTGATTAATTTTAGCACGAGTTATTTATTACTATTATTATTATTATTACTTAATAAACTGTACTATCAACCAGGAGAACCAGCAAGCCAACAGCACCCATATTCAACTCTTTGGCTACTCTAATCAAATAATAGGATTTTACCGTCACTCTTATGACACATTCACGGTCCCAAAGTGCGGAGCGTGATTTTGCGGACATGGGGCTCAAACAAGAACCCCCAGTTTCTCAGCTAACCTTTAGATCACTCCCAGCCCAGCATAAAAATAATTATGAAATTTACTTCAACATAGGTCTGTGGAACTAGCAGTAGAAACAGATTGAATTACCTTTACCATTGATCCGTGAAACCTATAGCACCTGCTCCATAGCATAAATCTAAAAATTTAATTACCTTCAGCATTCACCCGTGAAACCTATAGCACCTTCTCCATAGCATAAATCTAAAAATTGAATTACCTTCAGCATTCACCCGTGAAACCTATAGCACCTTCTCCATAGCATAAATCTAAAAATTGAATTACCTTCAGCATTCACCCGTGAAACCTATAGCACCTTCTCCATAGCATAAACCTAAAAATTAAATTACCTGAACCATAGATCCTTGAAACCTATAGCACCTGCTCCATAGAATAAAATTAAACATTGAATTACCTTCACCATTGATCCGTGAAACCTATAGCACGTTCCCCATAGCATAAATCTAAAAATTGAATTACCTTCAGCATTGTTCTGTAGAACCAGTAATCTATTTCAATAATACCTACAGGCTTTAGAGACGTACAAATTGAATCGTTTTCGTTACTTTTTCTTGAAAACCACCAGCACCTGTTTATCCCTGTAAATATATAGGTTAAAATATCGTTCTTGAATGTAGTCATTTTATCAGTTTTTATATCAGTATTTTCTTGCCTGACCGCTAGACTAATACTTGTTGACCTAAATATTTTTTCTTCGATATCAGTTGTAGTATGTCATGTCTGGCTGTACAACATGAAGAATATTTTATGTCGAATTTTACTCTTCCATTAAGCCTAACTTATTTTAATATTTTCAAGAGGGTTGGTTATCCAGGATTTACTGATTTCTACTGAGGTTGTGTTTGTTATTATTTAGATGGGTGTAGAGGGCTTTTTGTATCATTATTTTATTTTTCTAATATGTGGTTCATATCCCGTTATATTAGTATTAATCCAGTATATTGTATGGTTTTCTCTGGAATGATGGACTATTGCAAATAGATTGGTATTACAGAATCTTTTATGTCTATTATGCTCCTGAATTCTAACTTTTGTTATGTTTTTATTTTCTCCAATGTATTCCAGTCCACATTTACAATGGATGTTGTGAATGGTGTTTCTGGTTTCCGTTGGGTCTCTAGATGGTATGACATGTACTAATTGTGATCGTATTGTATTGTGGTTTATAAATACTTTCTGGTTTTATCCTTTTTTTTTACATACCCTCCTACGTTTTGATATAGTGAAATATGGCTGTGCATCTCTAATTTTCTTCCTGCTTATTCTTGGTGTTTATCTTCCTTATTTTCATCTTTATCAAGTGTTTCGAGTATCCATTGTCGATTAGAGTTGTATTGATGTGTTCTTCTTCCTCCTCCTTCTTGTTCATTCTTGAAACCACAGGTGTCATAGACTGCCTCAACACTATAAAGAGAGTGGTTTGTTTCATAGTCGAGACATTTACCTGTCACAAATCTTGTTTATTCTTGAAACTAGGCAGTCTATGACTCCTGTCTTGTATCTGTGGGCATCCTCTAAACTCTAATGGTATATAAGTTATGTATCTTGACAACCATGACGTCTAGGAATGGGACTTTTATAGGTATTGTGAATTACACTGCGGAATATTTTTCATGAATTCTCGAATCTTCTCTTTCACGTGTGGCCATATTACATATCGCATGTGCTCAAACTTTTGATATGTCGGCGATAGATTAGCAGCCGAACCGCATGATAAAAAAAAAAACTGGTTAGTAATTAGTATCTAGTAAATCAAATGTATACACTAGTAACTGTTTAATAATTAGACTCGTAGATGATCGTGTAAGCAACTAATCATGACAGCGATGGACGTTTCGGCATCCTTCTTCAAGGATTCACAGCATCATAAACTTTACCGTCTGATTTTTTTAAAATCTAGTTTAAATAAACAACTACTGCGTAATCTGAAGTCGTGTTAGTTTTCATTTCTGGTGCAGTTACAACTCTTCAGTCTGCACTGTTATATTTGAAAGCTAATAACAATGAAAAAAACGAAGTTTCATTTTATCATGTTGAGTTTTATATGGCAACTAAACTGAATAAACATTTATTAATTCTGGGCTGCAGTCGTCAAGATAACCTTCTATTTATGGCTTAAAATCTAGCGTAATTTGAATAAAGATTGATACAACAGTTCAGATTATGCCATAGTTTATTTAAACCCGATTTAAACATCGAACAGTATAGTTATGGAGCATCCCGAAACATCTGGTTTGAAAAAACAATTCTGAAGCTGTGTTAGTTTTATATTTCAGTATATTACACATGTAACTTACTGAGTTTAAAACTTCGTTTTCTAATTACCGTCTCGTGAGAGAGTCCATTAAAACTTCGATTTAGTGTTTCTAAAGTTTGGTTTATAAAATAAACAACGACTACTTGACAAGTTTTAGAGCAACCACAGTTAGACACAAATTGTAATATAAAACTCTACCCAACTGACAGAATAGCAAGACTTGTTGATGTAGGCCTCTCGAAGAACCTGACTTAATGTGTGTGTTTAACTCTGAAGAACGGTTTACATATTTCGTTAAAAGGTTAAGTAAAGAAACTATAGAATTGAATCTTAAGTTATAGCCAGCATTGCGTGGCTGTTGAACTAATGTACATTTCTTTTTCTTCGATACTGATATCATTCGTAAGAAGGATGTAAGTATATCATCTATTTTTGTATGTGGGTGTGGCGTATACGTTTCTGCTTAATGTACGAGAGTGTATGTAGTTGAGCCAATAAATGCGACGTGTTACACGTGTGTGTTGTAAATGTCATATGATTTCATT